GAATGGAGAGGTTAAGCAGTTTGCCCAGGGATACTATGGTGGAGCTGAAATTATAACACACGTCTCCTGGCTGCTGGCCTTTCTGTTATATCAATCTTTCAAAACCTGGATTATGTAGATAGATCAAAACCATTTTCTAAGGCATTGCAGTAAATTACTTAGCAAGTCATGTTGTTTTCAACATTATTTGAGTAAATTTTTACCAATTTTTCCATCCATGTGACTTACTTTAAAAAATAATTGATTCTGCATTAGTTTCCTTGCATAATTCAATTAACCAGCTACTGTATTCATCCCAGAAACTTTTCAAGTATGTATTTGCTGCTATTCTTTCCTGTGTAAGAAGCTTGTCATACACTTTCCAGTATGTACAGTCAGATCTGCCAGTCTTTTTTTTTTAACATAGCCACATGATCCAATCAAGTTTTATTTTTCTAATAAACTAACACAACTGTAAAAACAGTGAGCATGGTGGCAGATTGGCCGGAAAAAAAGAGGCAAAGCATATCCACCATCACCCTTTGGTATTTTTAGTTTTTGTTTTTCCAGAATCCTAGAGTTCTAAAGCATTTTATAAAAAATACCTTTCCCAGACAATGGCCATGTGTAAGTAGCCAACTCAGTAGACATTTCATCTTTCATAACAAATTCTGCCTTTCTTTATGGGAAAGAAAAAACTCCTCTTCCAGCTATTTGTTTTTCCATTTTCTTATGTCCAAATAAAAAGGTTTGAATTAAACTAGGGGGTCCCAGCTTTTACTCAACGGTAGTGACTGAGTCATAGTCCCTGGGAAATGGAAATCTCACCTATGAGAAGTCATCAGGTGCTTTGAGAAGGGAAACATAGTAGGCTGGCCACCCATTTGGTCTATTATTTTGATAACTAGACTTTTAAGTTCATTTGTTGGGGAATACTGGCACCTTTTACAGCTTAAATGTCAGTGTCCATGTAGTTCTCTGACTGGTTTTGTTATGTTTTGTCCCATATATCATTTCTTCTTGTATTTTAGTTTACTATATTAACAGGTACTACGTGTGTGTGTGTGTGTGTGTGTGTATGTAGGCTTATTACAGAATTAAATATAATTAAATATGATCTGATTAACTTACAGATTCTGATCAAGTTGGGGGAAACACGTTTTTTTTGTGGTTAGAGCACACAATTGCCATTTTTATCTGCTTCAACATACTTGGATGAAGGAATGGAAGACTTTATTTTTAAGGGATTGGTTATGTCTTCATAGACAATACTTACAAAATGTTGTCCTTTTCACATTCTGAGGTTTCCTGATGTTTCACTGTTATGCAGATCAGCTTCTGGATGTATCTAACACATGCTTGCTGATTTTCTAGTAGCCTTAGATTACTCACAGCCGGATAAAAAATTACCTGGATAGGCTTTGCTAGCAATGTCATCATTGACTACTCTTTGTAATGATATATAGAAGCTTGATTTAGATTGCATTTTGCTCAGTCAGCATGTAGAAAGTAGGAGCCTTGCTAAGGGTCTAGTAGATACTGACAATATGGAGCTGGCAGCACTTCGTAAACATTTTTCAAAAGAAGTGGTTTGCATTTATTAGTCTTCTGAAGGAGTATTTGAAAGATCATGAAACCACTTGTTCCTTGAAGTAAAATTTTATGCTCAAAGTATTCAAACAAAGCATGATTGGTTCTGTTCATCACGCCAGTTGTTTCTGAAATTATTTCTCAATGTTGCTACACTTCATTTAGTTTAATTAAATATCTGCAATTAGTTTGCTAAAACTTAAAGTTAAAAGATAAACATAGATTTTTGAAAAAATTCAACAGAAAAATTCAGCAGAAAAGCATTCTTTTGAAGGAAAGGAGGTAGAGGGAAGAAGCCATACTGCATACTTGGTCAAAGTGACTTGATCACATAATTGCTAAATGTGGCATGGGATCCTGAGTGGGTTCCTGGAACAGAAAAAGGACATTGGAGGAGAAACTGGTGAAAAGGAGAAAAGGTTTTAAAATTAGTAGTCTTCTATCACTGCCAATTTACTGGTTTTTGAGAATCATAATCTGATTTTATGTAACTTACTAACATTGAGAAGCTGGGAGAAGGATGTCAAGTTTGCTGAAAGCCTAAAATTGTTTCAGAATTTAAAATTTTTAAAAATGACCTGATCAGCAATTAGGTAACTTTAATAATATTCATGCTTTTAAAGTGTAAGCGATAATTTTAAATCCCAAACTTTTGAATCATATTTTTGAAAAGTTTTTCTTTATTATCTTTGGAAGTTTAGGGAGAAAATACAAGTAGAGAAAATGTAGAGGGCGATTCATCAAATGCCTGTATACTCATGAGCTAGAACAAATATAAACATTTTGTCTTATTTGCTATAAACACAAACACACAGAGAACTTTACAAAATTATTCAGGCCTTCTCCAGTGTTCCAATGTTGAGAAGGTAGTTCTTTATAATTTTTACTTGTAGGCATTTTGTCCAACAGTGCATTTGTCCCCCTAAGAAAAACACATGCCTTAACTCACTTTCTGTTGCCATTTATGCCAGGTTGTTGAATGTATAAATATCTAGTTACATGAAGTCTGAGTAGTCTCTGTGGCCCTAGGTTTATGTGTGTAGTAATATGTAAGTATCAAGGTCATGAAAGACAAAGCTGGGTGATCTGTCGCAGATTCAAGAAGACTAAGAAGTTTTGATGACTAAATCCAGTAGGGATCCTGGGTTGAATCCTAGACCAGAAAGAGGAAAGTAGTGGGGAAAATGGCAAAATTTTAAAAAGATGTATAGATTATTTAAAAGTATCACATTGATTTGGATTTCCTGATTTCAGTGTTTGTACTAAAGTTACATAGCTTGGTGAAGGGCATACAGGAATGTTACACAGTATGTTTTTGCAACTTTTAGGTAGGCCCAAAGTTATTTCAAAATAGAAAACTTTTTCTTTTTTTTTTTTCCAAAGTGAGGGGACCTGGAGTAGATGATTTCTAGATCTCTTCTATCCAGACTTGTTACGTTACAGTGGTACAAAATGAAACCAAAGATATAAGCTCTTTTATTTCCTGTCTACCAATTAAGAAACATGTTGAGACAGGCTGAAAAATAGGATCCGATTGTAAACTATCAATTCAGTTCAATGGAACATGTCCTGAATAGCTGCTGTTGTGCCTAGGACTACACTGAATAACCTGGTCTTTGCCTCCAGCATGATCACTACTTGAGCTTGAAGATGGTATGATCTTTGCTCTGAGTTACTCACATTATTCAGATGTCCCTTCTTTGATGTTTTAAAGTAATGGAATTGGAGAGAATGAAATAGAAATTGATAAGCTTTGGAAATTTGTCAAAGGAAATAAGAACCTTCAAAGAGGGCCTGAAATTTTTCAATCTGGGTGCCTGAATAGATAATGATAACCATTAAATAAGATAAGCAACCTAGGAGGCCTTTGGTACTAAATACTGTGTACAAGGATTCAATATGACTATCACATTAATATTACCACCAGATAATTAAGTATGTCAATATGGGGTTATACAAAGATATGTGTATTTGAAATCCTGACATTCTGTTAATGCCTGTTTATTAAATAATTACAGTGAATTAAGGCTATACTTTTATTCCTTTATGACAAATTTCTGGATGATGAATAGATATATTTCATTTAGTAAATACTTTTAGAAGTTTTAAATATTTTAGAAAAGTAGTGCTGTTAAGTCAGAAAACTATGGCTTATGTTATGGACTCTGTTCATAAAGATTTTTTTTTTAATTTCTGGGTATTTTGGGGCCTGTTTCTTTTATTTTCTGGAGTGGTTTTTTTTTTTTTCTTATAATATATGTTTATTTAGGCTAAGTGAAAGCTTCGAATCAGGATAATTGTAAATGAAACAGTAGTTTCAGTTTCACAATTTGATGAAAATTTTTAAGAAATTGATTTCCACCATGATTATTTTTAAACAAAAGTCTTATCTCTAATGCTTTTGTGGGTGTGCTGCCTTCTCTGGAGGATTAGAGATTGAATATCTTATTTCTGCAGTAGGAATATACAACATATATGAAATTTTCAAGTCTCCACAGAATTGAGAAGTCAATATGGTTACTGTACTTTGAAACATGTGTATACTATGGGCCTAAGGTGTTTTTTAATCTTTAGTCTTTTTAGGGATCAAATATCATTAGAAAAATAAGCCATGGGCATTACAAACGTGGTCTGGTGAAATTCAATATTCACTATGACAATTTAGAATATGAGCTCCTTGGGCGGAAAGTTAACTCACCACTCTAACTTTGCATCTAAATATCTTAAAATGTGCCATTGGTTTTATGAAAAGGTTTTGATCTACACTCCTATTTTAAGTTCAAAAGAAAACCTACATTTTAAAGTGTATTCCTTTTCTGGGTATATTTACTTTGAACTATAGCATATAGTTTTTCTCATAAATCTAACCTGCCACTATCTGTTTTTAAGACTTTGTAAACTTCAAGTGGTTATGATGTGTGAAGTTTGGATTAAACTAAAATTTTTAGAAAACACATGTTACATATTTTGATTGTTTTGAATTTTAACATGGGCTGGTAAAAAACTTAAGTGTCTAGTGGAGTAATACACTGTACTCCGTTACTGTAGGAAATCACAGAAAAATTACCCTTTCCCATCATGTTAACAATAGACAAATGAAGCAGCTGTTCTTATTCTTAATGTAGTTGTTTGAAAAACTTGCACAATTTAATGAAAATGTCTCTACTCATAAAATTTAAAATGCTCACACATGGAAAAAGTCATAATGTTTTGGTAAATATTACTTTGTTAGGAATGTGAATGAGGTATACCTGCTTCATAACTAGAACTCTATATAAATGGCATGGAACTGTGGTGGACTGCCAACTGAGCAAGAAGACTCTGACAAAGGATGAATTAATAATCTTAAAAAATACAGATAGTTCCTTCCCAAACATTTGTTTGGTAAGGATGAATTATATACTCTTCTCTATTTCTTTTGTTTTTTTCAGGCATAATTTTTGGATCATCATTTCTACTCAGTATAAATGATTTTCTCCTTAAAACAAGCCTCAAAGAAAGAAGTCGCATTCTGATAGGACCGTGTTGTGCTACTGCCAATCTGGAAGCTAAATGGTGTAAACACAGTGGCAATCCAGGCCCAGAACAATCCATACCAAAAATATCCATTGACTTAAGAGGAGGTCTGCTACAGGTCTGTGGGTATTGGGCCTACCATAGGTTATTAACTAGCCTTTGTTCATTTTTGAACTGTTTCACTAAATTTCAAATCTTTGTGTGGTAAGAAAGGGTATTTGTCAGATTGCTACTTATTAAATTTTCAACAAATTTATTGAGATATAATTCATATACCAGACAATCTACCTATTTAAAGTATACAATTCAATGTTTTTTAGTCACAGAGTTGCACAATCATTACCACAATCAATTTCATAACATTTTCATTACCACCAACAAAAAACACATATCCATTAGCAGTCACTTACCATTACCCTCTAACCCCTTCATCAGGCCTAGGAAATCGCTAATCTACTTTCTATCTTCATGTATTTGCCTACTCTTGACATTTCATGTAGATAGAATCATATAACCTATGGTCTTTTGTGACTGACTTCTTTCACTTAGCGTGTTTTCACCGTTCATCCATGTTTACCAAGTGTCAATATTTTATTCCTTTTTATGGCAAATAATAATCCATTATATGGATATACCATATTTTATGTATTCATTCATCAATTGATAGACATTTGGGTTCTTTCCACTTTTGGCTACTATGAATAATGCTGCCATGAACATTTGTGTATGACTTTTTGTGTGGACATACATTTTCGTTTCTCTTAGATATATAACTAGGAGTAGAATTGCTGGGTCAATTTTTTTTTTTAATGTGTAGACTTTTTTTTTTTTTTGAGACAGGGTCTTGCTCTATCACCCAGGCTGGAGTACAGTGGTACGATAATAGCTCACTGTAGCCTCAATCTCCCAGGCTAAAGTGATCCTCTTGCATCAGCCTCCTGAGTAGCTAGAACTGTGTACCACCACTCAGCCAGTGTTTTGTTTTTATTTTTTCTCAGAGATGAGGTCTATATTGTCCAGACTGTAGACTTTTCTAACTATTAATACAAAGTAGCCACTCTGTTGCAAGTATAGTGTCACTAGCAATAAATAAGAACCAATTTCTTATATTAAGTATTTTACATGTTATGATACCTGATTTCAACTCTTGATAAATTAGTCACATTGCAACCTCTTAATGCATTTGTCTTAGCAGCCAAGTATAGATTGTTGAAGACATCCAACTTATTTCTTATTTTTATTTGAATGTATTTTAATCTAATCTTTATGTACCTTGATGCCACTCTAAACTTGACACAAATCCAAAATCCTTGAAAGATTCACAGTGATAGAAAATTAAAATAAATTATTGCACAATAATAAAGACATTAAATATGAATTTTCTTTTCTTTTTTCTTTTCTTTTCTTTTCTTTCTTTCTTTTTTCTTCTCTTCTCTTCTCTTCTCTTCTCTTCTCTTCTCTTCTCTTTTCTTTTCTTTTTTTTGAGACAGGATCTCATTTTATTGTCCATCCTGAAGTGCAATGGTGTGATAACAGCTCACTGCAGCTTCAGCCTCCTGGGCTCAAGAGATCCTCCCTATCAACTTCCTGAATACTAGGACCACAAGCATACACCACTATATCTATTTTTTTTTAAGAGATAGGTTCTCACTATGTTGCCCACGCTGGTCTCAAACTCATGGGCTCCAGTGATCCTCCACCCATGCTGGGATTACAGTCATGAGCCCTAGCACCTGGCCAATTTTTTGTTTTTATCTCAAAGTTGTATTGTCTCAGCTTTTCACCAGTTTTGTTTTGTTTTGTTTTTTTTAAATACACGGAGCAAGATTTGGGAAGATCCTAACAACTTACTGTTTTGTGTTGCTCTATCAGAAATCTTCATATATTTAGCAAAAAGCATGTATTACTTTGTCAAGAATATTCATTGTCTTACCTTTTTTCCAAGGCAGCCAGTTAACTTCACGTTAAAAAGTGCAGTGATCTGTTTACATGATCAAGTGCTTAAAAATAAAAAGTAAGAAAATTTTAAAACCACAGCATTAATAAAAGCAAAAACAAAGTGCCGTGTATTATCTCTACATTATAGTCATTGTCTCTTGACAATTTAAAGGCTAGAGCCCAACATTCTACTCCCCAGCTTTACTTTTCACCTATCTCTGTTTTTCAGCATCTAATAAAAATAAGATTGATGAGAACACAAGTAGACTTAGTGTTCGATCTCTTAATTTCATTTCTGAGTTGCCTTAATTCCAGAGAGCAGAACTTAAGCCTAGGGTTTAAAACTTACCCACACAATATAGGGCTATTATATTCTACTACTATATGTTCTTTTGTCTTTTCTGTGTTACCTGGTTCTCTTAGAATTGATAGCTGTGTTGCCTTTATTTAATATTTACAGAGAAATTTAACATTTTTGAAAGTTTTGATCTTCATTATAACCTACTGGTCATTATGTGTCTATAACTTATTAGTTATAGACTAATATTACATACAGAAAAAGAAATCTTAATCTCCATTAGAGGAAACACTAAGTCCTTTTGTTCTGAAACTCTACTGCAGCTTCTGTAGTATAGTTGATTCCTAGGGGCCCTGGAATCCTCTTGTGTTGGCACAGTCTTACTAAACACAGAAGTTGGGAGCCTTCTAAGTTCAGGTTTATTGAAAAGGCTCCCTCTCTTTTTCTTTGAAAAATAAAAGTGCAAAGAAAGGAACCCTATAATAAGGACTGCTTCTTTAATCTCATAACAAAATGGAAAAGCTATTCCACAAAGTTACTATTATGATTTTATTAACATTTTGGCCCAGATGATCTTCTTTGCCTTCTCTCAACTGTAATAGGTGTTCTTTTCCCTCCTAGCTAAATTAATTCATAAACATTACTTTAATCAATATAACTTGAATTCAACATTTTAAATTTGTGGCTATTCACACAAAATATGATGTAATTAATTTTTTGTTGTTTTATATTTACTCAAGCAATAGAATTTTATCCTGTAGTTCAATTACTTTTTAGAAATTATAATTTATTGTAAGTAATTAAATTGAACATAAATACAGTCCTACATTAATTCAAATATGATTATATCTAATTATTCTCAAGAATTATTTGTATTTAAAAGCCATTAGAATTTTTTGTATGATTTTCAAGGTCTTCTGGGGTCAAGAACATTTGAATTGTTTAGTTCTTCTACATGAATTACTCAATGGATACCTTAATGAGGAGGGAAATTTTGAAGTACAAGTTTCTGAACCAGTGCCTCAAATGTCGTCTCCTGTGGAAAAGAATCAGACATTTAAAAGTGAACAAAGTTCAGATGACCTACGGACAGGTCTATTTCAGTATGTACAAGATGCTGGTAAGTAGCAACAGCCTTGGTATGAGAGAATGTGTGTGTGCATATGCGTGTGTGTGTGTGTGCACGCATGCACGTGCGCACATTTTAAATGCGTGTTGACTAATATCACATCGAGATCACTTTCAAAAGTGCATTAAAATTTGCAGTACAAAAATAATACATTATCATTCAGTCTCTCTTTTGGGAAGTTGTTGATTTCTTTCTGCTCCAGAATATATAAAAATGATGAAGCTTCTTTATGTTTTTTTATTCTCATAATTTTTCTTGCTTTACTAAGCCATGTTCCCTTTTAAAATCATGCAATTAATTATACTTTTATTTGACAGAATCTTTGAAATTGCCTGGGGTCTATGAAGTTTTATTTTATAATGAAACTGAAGATTGCCCAGGGATGATGTTATGGAGATATCCAGAACCTAGAGTGCTAACCCTTGTACGAATAACTCCTGTGCCTTTCAACACCACGGAGGATCCAGATATTAGCACAGCAGACCTTGGTGATGTGCTACAGGTATGTAATGACTATTCATTGCAAAATGAAAATGCTGTCAGAAAGGGATGATCATATGTTAGGAAAAATGTTTGGAACATACATATTTCTTACATTGATAGTATCAAAGAGAAATATGCATCTGCGTGTGTGGCATGTGTGTATTCACACACATGTAATAGGATTTTTTAAAATAAGGGAATAATGTAATTCAAATTCATGATACATGGCAATTTTTTTTTTATTGTACTTTAGGTTCTGGGATACATGTGCAGGCAGGATTGTTGCATAGGTACACATATGGCAATATGGTTTGCTGCATCCATCCCCCCGTCACCTACATCTGGCATTTCTCCCCATGTTATCCCTCCACGACCTCCCCAACCCCTTGCTGTCCCTCACTTGCCCCCTCCCTGAAACAGACCGCAGTGTGTGATGCTCCCCTTCCTGTGTCCCTGTGTTCTCATTGTTCAACACCTGACCATGAGTGAGAATATGCGGTGTTTGATTTTCTGTTCTTGTGTCAGTTTGCTGAGAATGATGGTTTCCAGATTCATCCATGTCCCTACAAAGGACACTAACTCATCGTTTTTTATGGCTGCATAGTATTCCATGGTGTATATGTGCCATATTTTCCTTGTCCAGTCTATCGTTGTTGGGCATTTGGGTTGGTTCCAGGTCTTTGCTATTGTAAACAGTGCCACAGTGAACATATGCGTGTGTGTGCTTTATAATACAATGATTTATAATCCTTTGGGTATATACCCAGTAATGGGATTGCTGGGTCAAATGGAATTTCTATTTCTAGGTCCTTGAGGAACCGCCACACTGTCTTCCATGATGGTTGAACTAGTGTATACTCCCACCAACAATGTAAAAGTGTTCCTATTTCTCCACATCCTCTCCAGCATCTGTTGTCTACAGATTTGTTAATGATCGCCATTCAAACTGGCATGAGGTGGTATCTCAGTGTGATTTTGATTTGCATTTCTCTAATGACCAGTGATGATGAGCATTTTTCATGTTTGTTGGACTCATATATGTCTTCTTGTTGGACTCATATATGAACAGAAAGTGTCTGTTCATATCCTTCTCCCACTTTTGGGTGGGTTTGTTTGTTTTTTTCTTGTAAATATGTTTTAGTTCTTTGTAGATTCTAGATATTAGCCCTTTTTCAGATGGGTAGATTGCAAAAAAATTTTTCCCATTCTGTTGGTTGCCAGTTCACTCTAATGATTGTTTCTTTTGCTGTACAGAAGCTCTGGAGTTTAACTAGGTCCCATTTGTCTATTTTGGCTTTTGTTACCAATGCTTTTGGTGTTTTAGTCACGAAGTCCTTGCCTATGCTTATGTCCTTAATGGTTTTGCCTAGGTTTTCTTCTAGGGTTTTTATGGTGTTAGGTCTTATGTTCAAGTCTTTAATCCATTCAAAGTTAATTTTAGTGTAAGGTGTCAGGAAGGGGTCCAGTTTCTGCTTTCTGCACACTGCTAACCAGTTTTCCCAACACCGTTTATTAAAGAGGTAATCCTTTCCCCATTGCTTGTTTTTATAAGGTTTGCCAAAGATCAGATGGTTGTAGATGTGTGGTGTTGCCGCCAAGGCCTCTGTTCTGTTCCATTGGTCTATAGCTCTGTATTGGTATCAGTACCATGCTGTTTTGATTACTGTAGCTTTGTGGTGTAGTTTGAAATCGGGTATTGTGATGCTTCCGGCTTTGTTCTTTTTGCTTAGGATCGTCTTGGCTATGCAGGCTCTCTTTTGGTTCCATATGAAGTTTAAGGTGTTTTTTTCCAGTTCTGTGAAGAAGGTCATTGGTAGCTTAATGGGGATAGCGTTGAACCTATAAATTACTTTGGGCAGTATGGCTATTTTCACAATATTGATTCTTCCTAACCATCAGCATGGAGTGTTTCTCCATTTGTTTGTGTCCTCTTTTATTTCGTTGAGCAGTGGTTTGTAGTTCTCCCTGAAGAGGTCCTTTACATACTTTTTTAGCTGTATTCCTAGGTATTTTATTCTCGTTGTAGGAATTGTGAATGGGAGATTGCTCATGATTTGGCTCTCTGTTAGTCTGTTATTGGTATATAGAAATGCTTGTGATTTCTGCACATTGATTTTGTATCCTGAGACTTTACTGAAGTCGCTTATCAGTTTCAGGAGATTTTGGGCTGAGCTGATGGGGTCTTCTGAATATACAATCATGTCATCTGCAAATAGAGACAATTTGACTTCCTCTTTTCCTAATTGAATACCATTTATTTTCTGGAGAAAAGCCTCACACTTTTTTAAATCCCCTCACTGACTTCCCCTAGTATCCCCTCAAAACGTAGGTGAGGCAAGAGCCTTTGTCTTACAGACACATATGAGATAGTTTCTTATCTCCAGTGTGCTTAAGATCAATAACTTTCTTGGCCAGTACTTGTTTTTTAATGCCATGACTATGTAATACGTTGACAACTTCACATATTCTATAAATACTCTTCCAATTCTAATGAAATATGAGCACTTTACATATTAAGTAATTTTCTGTTTTTGAAATTGAGTTTACAATGTAATGTTTAATGTCTGTACCTTGATGGTGTTTAGCTTTTCCTTGTGTTTAGTTTTCTAATAACATGTTATCTACTACTTGTCCATGGACTGAACTAAAACTTCATTAAATATTATAGTTGTGTGGGTTTTTTGTCTTTTTCATAATTACATTGAAAACGTTCTGAGTCAGAGCGTAATAGTTACGATTATCCAATAAATTAGAAACTATACTTTTGCTGCTTTGAATTTGACTTTACAAGCTTCCTGTAATTCTGAAGCACATGGACCTGATAGGCAGAGGTTATGATATTAGCACATGATGACACTACAAAAGGAGAATCCTTCTGAGAGATTTGCAATCAAATATTATTTGCGTCTTCCACACATAGCTTGAAAAAGAATAAAAGGAAATGTTCTTGGGTGTTTCTTTTCAGCTGGGCTGGGTGGTTCACTTATAGCTGCACATATGTTCCCAGAATCCTGAGCCTTTTTATTTTATAAGCACCTCCTGCCCACTGGCAGCTGTACTAATGTGTCCCAGAAGGCTTTGCTCTTATCCATCATCTTTAGGAGGGATGCTCAAAGCCATATATGAGATTCATTGTTGCTGAAATGCAGAAAGGAAAAAAAAAGACTTGGGGGCTTTAGGGAAGTAGGAGGCTGAGCCAGACTCTTAGGAAATAAAGGAAAGGGACAAGTCCCATGTACCCAGTGGACACAATAATAAATGTTTTTGAATGATGGGTAACGGGGCTGGATCAACTGCTAAGTGTTTCGCATCCAGAAGCCATTGCCTTCTTTTTTGGACAGAGAAAAATCTAAAAGTATTCCCTGAATACATTTTTAATCATTCTGTCTTCATAGTATTGTAAAAGCATGAAAAATAGATCTTGAATACATTAAAAAGAGCCCTGCCTGAGAATTTTAAGGTTAGCTCAGTGAATACAGATGAAAGGACCTGGGCTAAATGCTGAGAGAGAAACACAGAAGTAGAGAGCGCTCTAACTGTTCCCTCAAGGTACCTGTAGTTTTTTTAAGAGAGACAAGTACGTAGAACATGGCAGGGCAGAACCTGTGACATACCACGAAAAAGCCACAGAGAATCTGCATTTTTAAACAAAGCTTACATCTGAATTGAGACATCAAGACAAGGCATCATGGAGGAGATGGTTACTGAGGTGATCTTTGAAGGATGAAGAGGATTAAAACTGAAAAAAAAAAATGGGAGTGAAGGTGTATGTAAAGAAAAACTCAGTATGAGCAAAATTTCAGAACTAGATAGAGAGGGCAGAATATAATATTTCTGGGAAGTGGCAAATAATCTGGTTTGACTAGCACAGGTTAGTCAAGTATGGGATTAGTGGAAAAGTGATAGGCTACAGATGTGGCTCCTTAATCTCCGTTCATTCAGTAGAGGGAAAAGAGAAGGAAACTCATTTCTTGAGCACCTAATATGTACCAAGCACCAAACATGTTATTTTACATGTGATATCCCTTCTATCTTCCCGTTAACCCTGTGTGGTATGTACCATTGTCTTCACTCTAACCGTGTGTGGTACATACTGTTTAGAGCTAAGGTAAATCAGATTCTGAGAAACATAATATTTCCAAGATCATAAAGCAAGTTATGGGAGTAAAACTGGAACTCAAATCTTGGTTTGTATGACTTCATAATTCTTTCTTCTTTGTTGTGCTACCTTGACAACATTTAGAGTGTAGGGTTTATATTTCATTTGATAGGCATTGGAGAACCACTGGCAGTCCAGAGCTTTGGAAACATTAGTAGTCTGGTGGAGGTGGAATGGAATCAGGAGACACCAAAGTAAGAAGACCTCGTCTGAGAGAGATGACAGGCTGTGATCTCAAGAGAGCAGTGGGGAAGAAGAAAAAGAAATGAATGCAAGAGAGGTTGTAGAGAAGAAATCGATGTTCTTGACAACAAATATGCTAATTTAATAATGAAGTAAGAGATGTCAAGGTGAATGCAAGATTTAAGCTCAGTGGGAAGTATGGCAAAAGCATTTATGCAGTTTTGGAAATAAAGAGGAGTGCCTGCTATGCAAGACGCTATTCACTTTGTGAGATGCTTTACACAGATTCTATCTAAGCCTGAAATCAACCCTGCAGAGAGTGTTGTTATCCCCCTATTACGGTGAGGAAGCTGAGGATCTGAAGAGTTATGTGAGGGGCCTCCTCTCACCCAGTTTCAGGAAGTTTATAGATCCCCCTATAAGCTATGTATGAGTCTCTCGTGAAGAATCACAAGAACATAAGAAACACTGCTGGGGTTTTTAAGCTCTATGTCAATTAGGATTAAGGTTCAGATATGAAAGACAGAAAATATACAATACCAGCAGCTTAGGTAAAATAGAAGTTTATTTCCTGTCACACATGGGAACAATCTGGAGGTTGACAATCTAAGGACTGCGAATGTCTCTACGAAGTCATGAGGACCCCTTTTCCTGCTGTGTGCTGCTCTGCTGTCCCC